GTGATGGAATGAGACCCTATCTCAAAACAAAAAGAAATTTCTGAAGAATGTATAATATCATGGAGACATGCCGGAGATGGAAGCAGGGTGCAATGTTCACAGAGCACTGTCTGGACAGGCGGGGAGAAGCCCCAAGAGAGGTAGTGGGGTGACAGACAGCCCAGCTGCGAGCCCACCCAGGCTGTGCAGTTTGCTCCTGCTGTGTCCACCTGTCTGTCCTCTCTGCCTCCCACCTGCACCCTGGCAATAACCTACACACAGAGATGGCCACATGCTACGATGCGACAGGACTGACGAGAGGCCAGCGCCAGGCCCAGCCCTGAGCGCTCAGGGGGCCCTTGCCTACGGATGAGACCACCGTGCTGGGAAAAGCTGGGGAACCCGAGGGTCTCACCCCACGGGGCAGGTGCCAGGGATCTGCGCATCACTGGGGCCTCACCTGCTGCAGCTCCAGCTGGCTCTTCGCCTGCCGCACGATGTTGCCCTTTTCTAGCAGCTCCTTCTGCGTCTTCTCAAACTCTTCCTTCCCCTGCAGGGGAGAAAGGGATGGGTCCATTCTCTCTGCTGAGCCAACAGCACCAGCCGGCCCCTGGGGTGCAGCAAAGGCCCAGTGGCCACCAGGTGGCGCTGCACGCACCAGGGTAGCAGAGGCCTGGCCCAGGAAGGGGCTGGGCACAGGGCAGGCTCCAAGGGAGGAGGGATAGTCTCTGGGGCGTGGCCACCCTCCCTGCCTGGTTCCCAGGTTCCCCACAGGAATTAACTCCAAGCCCCTTCCGTCAGCCTACAAGGCCCAGCACCTGGTCCCTGGCCCACCACGCCCAGCCTGGAACACTCTGCACCAGGACGTCCACCTATGGGCACCCAGGCCTCTGCTCAAGGGTCTCGGCCTCCAGACCAGCCCCAGCCACCTTTCCATCTCCTTGCTCTATGTCCCCCACACCTCAAGGAATCTTTGTATTGTATTCTTTCAGAATCTGTCTCCCCAAACACAACAAAGCCACCTCTGCCACGGTCACCAAAGCTGTCCAGACCCGGAGGTGCTCAGGAGCCACTCCTGGTTGGTACCACAGAATCCAATGACACGGCCACACTGGGCCGATGTGGACTGAGGAATGGGCTTCCCAGGCCATCTGGCCTGGAAGGCCCAGGTGAGAGGAGGGCGCAGGGACTTATCAGTGGCCGGCCCTGTGTGTGAGGGGGCGGGCAGGAGGATGGGGGCGCACCCACCTGCAGGTGGACGTAGTCATAATCCTCCATCCAGCCCCCCTCGCTGTTCTCGTACTGCCCATCCGGCGAGTCCTGGGAGGTGAACTTGGGTGGTGAGGGCAGGGGCCGTGACTGGATGCTGCTGGCCTTGTCAGTGGGGTTGGGGTGCAGGGGGCCACCCCCCTCGGGCCCTGGGGCAGGGGCCTTGGTCCGTCTGAAGAGCAGTGAGGCATTGCCGTGCAAGAAGGAGGCCAGCTGCTTGGCGTCCTCGGGCACGGCCCGCGAGCAGGCCACCAGGCGGTCCAGGTCTTCAGGGGTGGCTCCTGGGCCTCCCCGGCCACTGTCAAGGGCCTGACCGTGTGCCACCAGTGTCTGGTACACGTCCTCCATCTTCTGCAGCTGCCTGCTAAGCTTGGCATGCAGAGCACGGTCAGATGTGTGGGCGGCGTTGCCCACAGCACTGCGGGCAAACTCCAGCAGCTCGTAGACAGCGCCCTGGACAGCAGCCACAGCGGCCCGCAGGTCCTGCACCGGTGGCTCCTGCAGCTCGGGGGTGCTGCGCCAGCCCCCGGCCCCACCAGCACTGCCTGCCAGGTCCAGGAGGTGGGCTACAGTCGTGCTCACACTCTGCTGTAGCCGCGCCAGGGTCTCCACAGCGACCTCCAGCTCCAAGGGCTCCCGGCCCGGCCCTGCCACCTCCAGGGAGGACACAGACTGGCTGCTTCGTGTGCTGCCAGTGCTTGAAGCCGACAGGCGCTTGGCATCGGCTTGGGGCTCGCGCTCAGCTGGGGGTGGCACTGAGTACACGCCATCGTCAGCCACGCCGCCGTCGGCTACCTCAGGAGGAAGCGCCCGTTCACGGGGCACGTCGTACAGGGTCCCGGGGCCGGGCCGCCGCAAGCCAGGGGGCACGTCGTAGAGGTCGGGAGCAGGGGGTGGGACGTCATACACGTCCTCGGCTGGCGGGGAATCTGGAGGGGGCGCAGCAAGGACCAGCGGGTGGCGGGCTGGGTCAAAGGGCTTGGCCTTGGCGAAGGCGGGGGGCACGTCATAGGTCTCCTCACGCAGCAGCGGGCCGTCGGGGACGTCCTTGCTCACCGAGGGCGGAACATCGTACACCTGGGGGCCAGGGGGCAGTCAGGGCTGTCTGTCATCTGCCTTGCCCACCCTAGGGCGGAACCCAGCCACCCACACACACACACACACACACACACACACACACACACAGAGCCTGGGACACATTCGTCATGGTTATGGTGAAGAGCCCAGCTCAGGAGCCAGGTGACTCTGCCTCTCTGTGCCTGTCTACTCAGCTACGATAGGGAGGACCTCGCAGGGTCCCACGTGTGTTACTGCACATAACTGTGTGAGCGCAGACACCCAGTGAAAGGTTAGCTATCCTACTGCCACCGCCACCACCAAGACCACTGTCATTGTCACCATCATCACCACCACCACCGCCACCACTGTCATCGTCACGTGTGAACTTTCTACTCTGTAGCAGGCGCGGGGCTGAGCTGTGTGTTGTACGCGGGGTGGCCACACGCTGGTTTCCCCAGGACAGTCCTGGTTTGTGCCTGATGTTCCCATGAAACTATTAGGGCCCCTTTCACTCTCAGAAGTATCCTGGTTTAGAAGACAGACCCTGTGGCCACCCTGTTGGTACCTCTAAGAACCTGCTGAGAAGGCCCCAGGACAGGCCAGCCCACAGGTGAAGCACATGAGGCCTAGACACACATATACACACGGGTCAGAGTGGGGCCGGGGGCCAGTCTCCTCCTGCCCCCAGCCCTGTGCGCACACCAGTCACCCACAACCACCCACAGGGGTAAGGCCTCAGCCTCGAAGGCCCCCACATTTGCCGCCTGCTCACCGCGTGGTGGCTGGATGGTGGCAGGCCCTTTTCCACGCTGGGGGGCACGTCGTACACGTCCAGCAATGGGTCTCGGCCATTGGGACCCTTGACAGCCATGGGGGGTGTGTCATACACCTAGAGGCAGAGAGGGTGCAATGTGACAGGTGCCAGGGCCATCCGGGTGGAACGGGGATGGTGGGAACGCTGCAGCACCTGCCCCAGGACCAGGGTTGTGGACACCAGGTGGCTCAGGCGGAGAAGATACAGCTCCCTGAGCAAGGGCCAAGCAGAGGCACAGACTCCCGTCCTGCCCTTACCCCCGAACACCTACCTCCTGGCCATACTGGTTGGGAAGTAGCCCCCGAACAGGGGGCACATCGTAGATGTCCTGGGGTCCCGGGGCCAGCAGGTGGCGTGGGATGTCATACTCATCCTGCTCCGGCTGGGAGGCCTCGTAGACGTAGCCCTGCCCTACTCGGGTGGGCACCACCACCTGGGGGCAGACGACCAACTTCAGCCCTGGCCCCCAAGCCAGCCCTCAGGATCCACCACAGGCCCCTGGGGTGACTCCGCTCACCCTGGAGGCCACCTGCCCTGTGCACGGGCGAGGCCCACGAAGGCACTGGGTATCATCCCCTTTGTATCCTTTGATCTTTTTTCAGTGAAATACAGCACTTGGGGTACAATAAGACCCCTAGTTTTTAGAGCAGTCTGGTTCTGGGCCAGGAAACAGAAAGTTTCCATAGCTGGATGACCCAGAAGGTTCCAGAGGAGGGTGCATGTGAGCGGACCAGGAGGGGAGGAGGCCCTGATTTTGGACGACTCCGCCAGTGAGCAAGGGCCAGTCTTCACTGGGGTGCCTGGCACCCCAGGGTGAGAAACCACGGCCTGTCATCACCTCCCAGCCGCACCCTCCTCAGAAAGGCCTGTCCTGACCACAGGACCCAGCAGCTGCCTCCCAGCTCTGGGGACAGGTGCAGCTCCCAGGCTGGGCCCAGAGGAGGTGGCCTGAAGGCGCTATCGAGGAGTCAAGCCTGAGGCCTCCAAGGAGGCGGGGACCCAGCAGAGCAGCAAGCACCCTCCCCTGTCCCCCAGTAGCCCGTCTGGGGGACGTCCTGAGGACAGCAGAACCAAGCACTCGCAGACCTCAGGGCCAGCTCG